TCATAAAACGGCTCTGAGTCTCTTTTTTGTTGTTGTTTTTGTTTTTCAAGTACAAACTTTTTGTTCGTAGCTTCGCCATCTCTTGACCGATTTGAGATATAGTTATGGTTTTGGACTCAGGAGGTCAAACACTTTGATTGATGCATTTGACCACGCCCAAGGTCTCTTAGATTAATTTACTCTAATCCTGCCCAAAATAATTTCAGGTGCGCGGTTATTGAGGAATCCCCCATGTTTACTGATATAACAATAACAATGCATAATTTCTAAACATTACATGATCATATTTCAATCCATGCTTGAAGCAAGTTAATTAATACAAAGCTTGAATTATTAATATCATTTTCATTTAACGCCCAGCCTGATTCTCAATGAGACCGAAATCGTGGAATTGGGTTTCCGGTATTCAACTTAGAACCCTCAAAAATTTACTCAGATAACAGACTCAATCAGCTAACCTCAAAACACCATAATTTACTGTCAAAAGTACTAATCAGTGTTCGGGCACGAACATGCGGAGCTTAGGGGTTAGCTGGACTGTGTTCACCTAGCATACAATAGTTGATGTGCACGTGTTTAGGCAGGTACTGCACTTAGTTATCGTACAGCAGCAAGTAAGCTTTGCTGAGCTTTCCTCGGCCTTCTTCATCGATAGCACTTGTGAAAATCGCGGAGAAAACGACTTTATAGAGCTGAGGAACCAGAATATGTATTGCTCAACATCGCGTGGCCACCACCTTGTTTTGTGTGAGATGTTTTATTATAGTATGGGTTTTACCTCCTCATTGCCTGGAAGGTGGAGCGAATTTGCCCATGCTGGTAGACAATTCAGATTCCAGATATTTAAAAGAGTTCAAATCTTTGATCAGAATGAAAAAAAAAAAAGAGTACCGAAAAGCTATGTTTGGAAATCAACTCACCAAACATATGTACAATATATACATATAAAATCTAAATTTTTCAGTAGTAATAATTCTTTGCATTGGCAGTCTGTACTTCCAATACCTTATTTGATCGAGAGGAGTATGGAGATTGAATTTTTGGGAAGCCAGAAATTTTGAAACTTATTAATAATTTTCCCTCAGTGAAATAACAGCTACTTCTAAGAACGCTCAATACTTTTTCATTAGGATACATATATTTATAATTTGTTTACTTATATGATATCAAATGACTTACATTAGTTTTATTCAATAAATATCATTGGCATCACTTCGCCAGTAAATTTCATCTAACATACCCCATCATCCAGCATAACATAAAATGATTAATATTATAGCCACCTTGATTTATCTGTAAGTGGTTTGTTGTTTTTTGTTTTTTTTTCTGACTCAACTTAACTGAGTTGCTCACTAAATTCTATAAATTGTTTTTAGTGTACAATATTTTAGTCGATCTCTTAATGACCTCAACATCAGATCTGCTTGCTTAGAGTGGATAAGCAGTTCATGCATTCGGCCACACTGCAGGTGGAGATTTTTCTCTGCTTCAGCTAATGATGTAGAACTGGGACTAATGACAAATGGCGCGTGGTAGCTGCCTCTCATAGTCGTAAGGATGAAGACTGATGAAGAACCCCTACATTGTATCTGCTTACTTTTCTTATCGGCAACTTGCCTTGAACGTTGTGCTGAACTTTTTCCTTCTGTTTTTTTTTTTTAACTCTACATTTAATTGCATGCCTACACAACCGGCAGCCAGCAACAAAGACAAATCACAAATCGTGAACGGGGCAAATCAGAATGGTTTACTTTTTTTAAGATTAATTAATGATTGCTGTTGCCCCCTTTTGGCATTTTCTGCGCCTTTTCAAACTAATTGATGATCACCGTAGCACGTTTTTGCACTCATCTCTTGCGAAGCGTTCTCAATTAAGTTTTTTGGTTGTTTTTTTTTTGTTACTGTTGAAGACACCGTGATTCTCTAATTGTTCGAGTTTTTAAGTGCATATTTACCTTGGAAGAATATGAATGCATCTACATTTTGGGAAGTTTTTTAATCATTGCACTTCCCAATCCAGCTAGGATTTTTTTAAAAAGTTCTCATTTTTATTCTCTGATTAAAAATCGTATGTTGACTTTGCTAACATCCATAATATCTTCTTTAGAAATACTTCAAGTTTGGAAGCAACCATCATATATTGTGGACAAATAAAAGTGTCTTCAAATCCTATCGATAATTAAGCCACAACTAAAAAGATAATAATAAAAGAAGAGAAATGTGCTGAAGTTCGTTAAAAAAATTGGATCAATAACACCATTGAATTTAAAATTTTTATACTTGAAATATCTTTGTTTTCGTGTTTCGCTGGCCATCTAAAAACACCGAGTTTGTTGCAGTACATTGGAACTGATATCTGTTATGTTATTCTTTATGAGAATATCCACTCCACTTGATGAGAAAAGGTGAAAATATACAAATGGCAGACAATTACTTATTTTTGCATCAATCATGATGGCGATTTTATAATTGGCATGCCAACTACATGATGTATAGAACTAAAAAATATGGAAAGCATGGTTACACAAAAGTAGTTATATTACATACTACATTAATGACTGATATGATGGAAAAATTAGGAACTATCTCATGTTAAAGTCACGTGTAAAACAACTTTTGTTTGTTTCTCAAGTTAAAACCATTTGATGAGTGATGTTTTGAAATTTTATTGCTCATAAACACATATAATGCAGTTTATTGTCTTATGTTAGCGGTATGGCGTCACCAAGGGCATTCTTTCATACTGGTGTGTAACACTTATGAAAGATGTAATAACCAACACAGGAGTGATTCCCTTTTCGCCATCTTTTACATACTCTAGTCTCGTGCTCACGTGCTGTCGCTTCCTTGGCAATTGTACCATAAACACTCGTGACAGTAAGAGATGGATTACACGCGACTGAACCCATCACACCTTGACCACAGGCCGGGAAATTGATTTGTTGGCCTGGTGTGCCCTGCTGATCTAACTTGGTGAAACGCAGTGGCTTTCTTTTGTCAGGCCTGTACTAAACCACACGTCATCAAGAAAAGAACAGTTTTCTAAATTGTTGCCCGTTTCCTATGTTGTTAATGTTCGTACAATAATATCTACTGTCAGTTATTTCCAGTAAGCTATCTCTAGGTCTTTGTTTGTTTCTTGTCATTATTTACTGTAGTCAGATTGTATTTAAACAGTTGATCAATTTAAAGCCATATAGCAATTAGTTTAGCTCAGCTAGCCTGGTGGTGTTTATAGAAACATTCCAAACTAATTGATTATTATTAACTTCGATCTTAATCTGTCCTTTGATCATAAAATAGTTTTGGTACCTAGCTTTTTTTTATGAGTATGCGGTTTTTATTTTTCATTTTATTAAGCAACAAAAATGTTCTAATATTTTAAGATTATGTGGTACTTATAGTGAGTTTATTTCAAAAGTTTAAGTTCCTCTTTATTACTCTGAATTTAATATAGAAGCAATGTTGTTGAGCAATAGTAAAATGGCATAACAGTGCAAGAGGTGAGTCTTATAAAATTACAACTCATAGACTTTTGCCCAAATAAAGTAAAACAAAAAACATATGAACTCTCGACAAAAATTTGGAGATCAGCCGTCAAACTGATCCCTAGTTGAATGTGTTTGTCTTATTTAAAAAAACGATAGTTATGCAGAAACACACATACAATCAAGATACTCGTTACAAATGAAGTGGTATACCAAATGTAGCCATAATGAATTTAAAAGAAATTCAGAGATAGTTTTCCATCTTTTATAGTTCAATGAGCTTTACGTCTTTATATAACCTCCAAACTTCAACTGATGTGATTTAAATAGAAACGTTTCCTTAAACTTTAAATAGCTGTTTCCTATTTAGCTCATTTCAATCTTCTCTATGTTTTTCTTTAAACGTTGTTTTTTATCATTTGTTCCCAATACGTCACAAAAGGTCCAATCATTTCATGCAACTAATAAAGTCCAAAAAATGAAATTGTTGACGCGACGTTGTACTGTTAATCTTCAGAATTTTTAAATAAATATGTCTATTTCAGCTACTTGAAATTTAATTGATATATTTCACACACTTTCTACCCTCTTCTAAGGTATTTATTGCCATGACAACCAGTATTTTCCCCTTTAGCCTGTGGGAGGGGAAATGTGTCTGGATAAGCTATTGCATGTGTATAGAAAAAGAGGCAGATGTAAGGAAATCACACGTTTATTACTTGTAATTAATACTTGCGCAATACTAATATTGAAAGCATTATCGACCTTTTCTTTTAATTCATCTATGTACTTATTTACAAACTGATGAGTTACTTTCTATAAACAAATTCTTTCCTCCACCTCCCTATTCGTTAGTTCTGTAGTTTCTGACTTATTTTCATTCATTCATTTATACATCATATGCTTTTCTTTTCTTGTTTCGCTGCCTGTATCGTTTCGTGAGAATGTACACTTACTAGAATAATTGAATTCAAACAGTTTATTACTTGGCTGTGCACGAAGCATGCAGGAGTAACTGTTTGTATGCAACTAACGATTTACCTCACAGATTTGTGTTCAGAAATGCATACGCGTTTGATATGATTGATGCGGTAATCATCTCTGGACTACCAAAGTGCCTGGTTTTGTTTAACATTGCAGCATACTGAGAGACTATTTCGGAAAGACCTTTCAGTTATTTTTTACATTAATGTGTCTTTTTTGACTTTGTTTAATAATAAAAAAAAGGCTTAGTGTAAGCCTTAGAATTATGTGCTGCTGATTGCTACTAATATCCGGCTATTCGTACCACTAAATATGAGAAGGATTTCATGTGAAAGTTTGGAATTTTTTTATCAATTGTCATAATTATTTTAATTTAGTCAAACTTTAGTGTGTGTTTTAATTACTTACACTATCTTTCACTACTTAGTAAACAAGCGAATGTGAACTGAGAGAAATACGCTATATGTTACTAATATTTTATGAAAAGAAAGAGTGTTGATATACAAGATTTGCTCGTCTATTGATCAGCAGGTATCTAAGGATCAACTGGTCAAGAACACTAGTGTGTCTACAAATAAAGAACTGGACAGTGAGAGCGGGACTTCGACGCCCCTCTCGCCTGTATTGATGATGAACTCACAGCTTTTAGCTCACCACCAAATGCAACAGTTGCTACAACAACAAATACTGTCTCCTGCGCAACTCCAACAGCTCTTACAACAACAACAGTCGTTGTTCATTCAACAGGTAAAGATAGATAGATATATAGGCTAAATTTCAAGTTTTCTGCCATAGTGCGTTTTTCCGTATGTTCAATTTTCAACTGTACTTCGTCTTGTTTCGAAAGACCATTAATTCAACAATTCTTAAAGCCCATTCCCTTTGATCACGTTTCAACATACCATATTTTTTCACAATAAGTTAATTATTTTTATGAAGTTAAGCATAAAACGTTCGTCGGTTAAAAAATCCAACAAAAGTACATACCTCCTCTAAATGGAGGTATACCTAGAACATAAAAAGATAGGAATTTCCTCTAGATGTTATGGTCTTTATGAAAGTTTATGTGGACAGTTTATAAATTTTTACTATAGCAGTTAAGACTGTCTGTGTGATAACATTCTTCATTGACATTAATTTTCTACTTGAAGATTCAGATTGGGAGAGCTTATACGCCATCAATATAATTGATGAATCTTACACTGTAACATCCAGAATCTTGATGCATTTTACTGTTATACGTAGTTATATGTCTCACCTATTTGTTAGTATCATGACTTCCATAGTCTCCACATATCAACAACATTGTAAGTGAAAGCAAGTTGACAGTCATTCAGAGCAAGTAATTTTTTGTTTATAATAATCTAAAGTCAACATTCTCATCGCAATAAGTTCAGCAGGAAGACATTATAAATACCTGTATGTTTAACGGAAGAGATTTTCGTACTGAATTTTCATTAAATAGAATATATGGATATCTTCAAAGCTCTCTTTATTTGGCAACTCTTACGTTGGTATGACTCAAGGGTTAAACTATGTTAGTTTAGTACACTTCTGGTGCTCATGTGGGTGTGTTGAAATACACCTATTTATTTCCAGGAAATATGTAGTTGCTTCTAGAAATAATTATAAAACTAGTTTCGAGTTATCATATTAACTGCCTTGATTAATAATTTTGTAAACTTTGCGAGAAATTGTTATGAAAGGATTATTAGTATTTTTTTAAATAATTAATTATCTGGAATTTAGTGCAAACTGAAAAAAAATGTATTGGTGCATTTCATTGATGCCAATGTTTCTCAACCATCTCCTTTTAAATAGCACAGAGATCTAAAAATTATGAAATTAAATGCATAAATTTTGTAAGAAGTAGAACCAAGTTTTTCAATCCCTGAAAAGCAATTTTCTTAATATAATACCAAATTTAATTTTAATATATCTTGTTTCTTAGTCTTCCAGGTCGATCTTAATTTTTAAAATATTCGAAGAAAATTATTATTGTTGTTTTTAAGATATGACGATCAATGTATTTTTACAAATTAAATTTATAATGTTAAAGCTTTACTTTTTGAGAAAGTTTGATAATAGCTTTTAGAGTTGCTTATTGTTTTAATAAAAAAGTATTTTCTTTGCATTCAAGTTTGTGCATAGAATGTATAAGTTCTAGAACACTGAACTGGTCGTAAACAGTGTTTGTTATTCACACGAAAGCTAGTTTTTTGTATTTTATATTATTTCTTGAGAGTATCGAAAGTTATTGGTTTTCTTTCTCTCAGTCCCAAAATGATTTCGGCCCAGAACAACATGGAGAAGAAGTTGAGCTACATTGAGGAAAATCGCTCATCAGTATCTTCCAGATAAAGTTAAAAATAAAATTAGTTGGTTAAAACCAGTTTCTTTTTCAACCACAAGTCTGACTTACTGAAAGTCACAAACGATAAGAACTATCTCTCATTATCGCGGTAGATTTCCACTTCTATAATCTTCTATTAAAGTTCAGTAACTGCGCGACCAGTCGTAAAACTCTAATTAAACAAATTACTAACCTGCCCATTAGTTCGTTACGTCTAGTTATATAAGAGCCGGAAGTTATTTGTAATGCACGTTATTATTTAATCTAAACAGGTAATTCAGAAAAAATGTGGCGACATCTAGTGCCCAAATGGCTCGATAAGCAGAATCTGTTTAGGCGACAAATTAAATTATTATGAAACAAACAAACAAAGCAATATATATTGTTTCCTGCAGTGAGTTAAAAGGTCCAGATGTACAAACTGCTCTTCCGATATGGTTTTTTGAGTTGTTTTAGCTTAAACTTTAATTTAAAATACAAAATCAAAATCATGAGTTATCTCTTGCAACTAATACAAGTTTGTATCCAAATGTATTTTGTGCGAAAAGCATTATTTATTTCCTCATTTATTCTTTAAAACCTTGTGTTTTAAGCGATACTGATTATTGTTCAACAGCAACAGCACCAGCAACAACAGCAACAAATCAAGCAACTTGAGTCCGTCATTCCTCACCTTCAAGAACAGTTACAGTTAAACATGATGCAACAAAGTCAGATCTTACAACAGTTAAACAATCTGAACAGCGTAACAGCTTCAAGTGCCAATGGTCCAGGAGACAAGGCTAAAAGTAGCAGACAACAGCTTCAAATGCAGCTTCAGCAGCTAGCCTTGCAACAACACCAACTGATGCAACAGTTGCAGCTGTCACATCGCTACAACATACTAGGGCTACCTCCATTATTACTGCCACAAGGTAAGTCATTGCGTTATGTTACTGTCAATCCATACAAAAGACTGGAGGTTCTTTTTGGAACTTTTTCTCTAAGAGACGATATAAGATGGCATATATTTTCGGACATTTTAAATCTTTCTTCATGAAATGTGGGGCCTAGAATGGTCTAGTGGTTAGAGCACTCGACTCACAATCTGAATGTCGCGAGATCAAATTCCATCCCCGAAAACGCTCATCCTTTCAGCCGTGCGGAGCGTTATAATGTGAGGATTAGTCCCACTATTCGTTCGTAAAAGATTAGCCTAATTTATTGCTTCAAAACTAGGAATGGCTAGCGCAGATAACGCTCGTTTAATTTTGTGTGAAATTCAAAATCAAAAACAAACAATCAATGGTTGTTCGTTTGTAATGTAGCATTAGTCAGGTATCATAACATTTCCTTTACCGAAAACCCACTAAAACAACTACTCCTAAAACAGTTGGATGAAGCGTGGCATAGATAAACGTGCCGATTTGTGGATCTAAAGGTCCATTACCTCAAAAACAAACAATCAATGATTGTTCGTTTGTAATGTAGCATTAGTCAGGTATCATAACATTTCCTTTACCGAAAACCCACTAAAACAACTACTCCTAAAACAGTTGGATGAAGCGTGGCATAGATAAACGTACCGATTTGTGGATCTAAAGGTCCATTACCTCAAAAACAAAACAAAATCGAGCTCCGCATTTTGGAACCATGTGTGCGTGATAAGAGTGACGCTCAAATCCTACTATTCGGTCAGAGTAGAGTACCCCAAGTTTGGTGCTTTTGACTAGTTCTATTCCCTCTAGTCTAGTTCAAAATTATAGACAGCACAGATAGCACTTGTGTAGCTTTAAGCGAATATCCGCAACAATCAATCAAATCTAAAATAGTTGAATAGTAAATACTGCGCACAGTTTTTACACTTAATTTTAGATTACGCAACTTTGATATAAAATAACTTCAAAACATTTTTTTTATCTTTTCATTGCCTTATAACATGTTTTCTAATAGATAATCTTTATTTTACCTTAATTCCATTTAAAATAAAAGACGTTTTCTTTTAATACAACAGTTTTGCAATTTACATTTTATGATCTGTAATATATAATTTTTAATTGTACTAAATGAGCTGTGATTGAGAATCATCACCGTTTGTTTGTTTGTTATTAAGCGACTATCTGTGTTGTGTTTACAGTGGGTGTCGAAACCCGAATTTTAGCGTATAAACCGCTCATATTTACTGCTGAGTCACCGGCAGACGAGAAACATCACTTTTAGTCACCTTGTAGTAGTATAATAGTAATTGTTTGTTTGTTGCTAAGAGCAAAGTTACACGATGCATTATCTGTGTTCTGCTCATCACGGGTATCAAAATCCGGTTTTTTGCGTTATAAGCGTATAGTAGTAGTAGTAGTAGTAGTAGTAAACCTCTTTGTTAAAAGTAAGTTATTGGGTATAGCAGATTATATAGAAGTAAACTTTTTAATGTAGTGAATGATTTTTGGAAGTTTGAAGGAATTATTTATTCATTTTACATTACTATTTTCTAGCTACTAAGGAGATGTTTGTTTGCTCTAGAAGGGAGATTTCATGTTCAGGAGGAACACCTTGGTGCACTAGAAAACATGAAAGCTTTCATAAGAACCATTCTGAAGTAGTCGAAGTTGCTTTTTGTTGTTACTTATATAAAGAGTACAGTGGAAAAAGAAGAAAGAAAGGAATATATTATCCCACTCCTGCTGCTCATTTAAAACAGTAAAAATATTGATGTATTTTAGCTAATTTAATATGCAACATATTTTTCCTGCTATTATCCCTTTTCGAAATATTCAGCAACAGACAAAACAAAAACGGATTCAATTGGCATCCTTTCTCAAAAATTTCGTTCAATATCTTTCAGCGAAACTCAGTGTGTCAAAGGTAAACAAAGTATAATAATTTTAGTGGGTGGAATAACAAAACATACGAAACTGATAAGTTTGCTAACATGAAACCATGTATCTTGTGAAGAACTTTCATTTCAGACATAACTTGGACAAATTTAAATAAAAATGCGCTGTTCAATAAATAGAGTCGTTATTTAAATACTAGAATAAACTTTTTTAATATAATCAATTATAATACGCCTAGTGTTGCACAAAATGTAGCTCTTTCCTCTTGTAATCATAATCAACAAAGTATATTATTAAAATTATTAATAAGAAACTTCATAGCATAGCTGGTTTAATGTAAAATACAAAGTATGTAATTACCATGACTTACGTTAGGTTTTTCAGAACTAAAGTTAACTAAGACGGGATATGAATACTCGCAGAACAATAAAACTAGTCTTAAAACTGCCAAGGTTGTTCAAGTTCTAATTGATAACTCGAGTATTTTATTAATTATGTAAACACAACAGAGATTACCTTGAATGAACAGATTTTTTTGTTTGTTAGTTTTAATTTGGGAATGATGTTATAAACATAGAATAGTAGTTGTGTCTACTTATGAGCATAGGGTATTTCATTATTCGACTCTCAATACACCCCCTCTACTGGATTTGGGTTATATAGAAGAGATTAAAATCAAATGTATTCTTTCCTGTGTTACCACCAACAAGGCATAAAATTCACACTGAAACTGTAAATACTTGGTAATCACTTTCCTTTGTGTGATATTCTGAATAAGAAACCGCCCATTAACTACTCTTTTTAGGACAAATCCATAGATCCAGTACAATAATCCTTCGCTAACACTTTCCAACACAAATCCAACCAGGAGACGGACAATAACAGCATCACAGAAATTTTCTCTTTAGAATCGTAGAAGCTAACAACCATACGAAGTAATTTTAATCTCGTCCATCCAATGTATTAATTAATATATTAGTGACGTTGTTTAACAGCTTAAAAGCTAATATTATACCTATCAAGTTCTGTGAAACGCCTGGTACAATACTAAGACCAAAACTTGTCAGTTCAGCTTTGATTTCTGAAAACATATACAGGAATGAACTTGTTATACTTAAGTGTGCGGATTTAGCAAGAATGCAGCATAAAATATATTTTACTTATATATTACATGTATAGCATTATAGGTGGAACTCTCAGGCAGCGCACAACAAGTTCAGAGTGTCGTGGTACAGAAATTTTAAAGCTAAGGAAACCTAAAATACATGAAATACGACGATTTTGTTTGTTTGTTTTTACCGCGAAGCTAAATAATGGGCTATGTGTGCTCTGTCCACCACTGGGAATCAACTTCCAGTAAAACAAAGAGGCCCTTTTTAAAAGATGCACATGACAAATAAAGATAGATAGTAATTTTTGTATTGCTTAATAATAATTAAAATTATGTCGCAGTCTCATGGTTATCATACTTTTTATCAATTAATTTGTTAAAAACATTATGCCGTTAAATAACTTACTTTTGTTTAAAACATTAAAAATTTCATGCATTTGTTTTTCCGTGTTATAAGCAACTCAGCTATATTTTTATCTTCTTTATACATTTGTTAACTTTTCCTTTGTATATATAAAGTACTGTATGTGTAATAAAATATTCACTATATTTAAAATTGATGAGGTATTATACATGCATCTGAGAAGAAGGTAATCTGCACGCCTATTGTATTTCAGATTAATCTGTCTTTATCAGTACACATCCTTTAAAGAGGTGTCTGTATTGGAGTTTCTGGAATGTGCAGTAATAAACAAGATTTCATTGCTCTCAGGAATTACTTCCGGTGACCTCCAGAATCTGTGGAAAGACGGAACAATTGGCTTAGATGAAGGATCTATAAATGGAGGATTGAATGGATTAGTTCACAACACTCCTACGACATCTAGTACAGCCTTGTCGGTTCTTACTCCAAATCGTTTACTTAATGGACAAGAAGAAGGTTTATCAAATTCTGTGTCAGCTTCCATTGCTGGTGTCAGTGGACAAAAAAATTCCATCTCTTCATCAAAAGACGAAAGTAGTCGGCCTTCAGGACCTCTCGAGCATCCTTTGTATGGTCATGGTGTTTGTAAATGGCCTGGATGTGAAACTGTTTGTGAAAGCTATCAGACATTTAACAGGTAGGTTTATGCATTATTCCAGCCAACATAGGAATACTCGTAAAGCAACGTTCATGTTTTCATTTTCTTAAAAAAAAAAAGTTTTTCATTTTAAAATATCGTTCATATATAGGTTATTCCATCAATTCAGTTGTTTTTACCAAATGTTGTATTAGCTAAGCAATTAATGCAAATATAAAGTATAAAAACTTCTGGAATTCTACTGTCAGCTTATCCTAAAAATATTATAAGTTCAAAAACTTCTGAGTATAGTTATTTTTTACCAAAAAGTTAGAGCCCAACTTGGTAAAGTATTTAAATTTATTTCCCTACAAAGAAGTAGAAAATATAACATGTTCGGATTTTTTTTTCCTTTCCTAGCAGAGATATATATTAGTATTTCTTTCTGATGTTTGTTTCATTTTAGTGGGGCGGGATATAAATTTATCATAGCAACATTTTCATGTCTTGTGATACATCGTAACAAAGTCTACCTTTCATGTGTTTTGATTTGCAGTTACCAAAGATATATTTATATTTTGGGTGTAACACTTGCGGATGTTACATTTTCAGGTGTGTTGATCTGAATTTGTATGTATTGTAAATATACAAGTACCACAATTACATTTTATGTGTTTTAAGTATATATTTACGGCAACTACACGAATTTTATGCTTTATTTCTATATATTTTAATGCATTAAAATAAAATAATTTGGTAAAAAAATTATGTTGATGAAAAATATTTTACTCTGACTGAAAAAATGTTTAAGCTACCGAAGTACAAAATATTAAATCATCCAGTTCTTTGTTGCTAAGTGCAAAGCTACACAATGAACCATTTGTGCTTTGCTCACCACGTGTATCGAAACCCGATTTTTAGCATCATCAGTCCAAAGACTTACTGCTGAGTCACTGGAAGAGCAAATATCCCCCCCCCCCCAAAAAAAAGAAGAAAAATTCGTAGATATCTGATGGCCGTTCGTCGAACTTGGTAGCTGCCGTATTTAGAGGCAAATTATTTCCCCTATTACATTTGAAATAGTAACATTGGATGAAATATTGAAAATATTTACATTGATATATATATATATAATAACATTCCACTTTAACACTGCATCTTCCTCATAACAGTCCGAGAAAAGAAGCATTGACTACAGAGTTTCGTTGAAATTTATCACTGAGCGCGTTTTAACTAAAACTCCATCATCTATTTACAAAAATATTTGTTTATGATTTTGAAGACGAAGTTAACGGCGGAGCCTGATCTGCTCCGTACCGCGTTTTATACTCAGGTCACACCAAAACAAATAGAAACTGTAATACGTATTATATGGCTTTAGACTTCCTTTGATTATGATATTTACGTACTAGAATCACTATTTTACTTTTTATTATCATGAAAACATCCAATAAAAATACACCTTTTAAACACGGTATGCATTAAAGACGTATTTTTTAGCTTAAAATACTTTACGTTTCCTAATCTTGCATTACATCATAAGTACACTCATGTTTTGTTTCTAAGCACCATTCAGTACATTCCAAATGTCCTTATGTAACCTAGACATTTAAACAAGGAGCACCAGCTTGATGACCGGAGTACAGCTCAAGCTAGAGTACAGATGCAAGTAGTGTCTCAACTAGAAATCCAGCTAACCAAGGAAAAGGAGAGGCTTCAAGCTATGATGAAACATCTTCACATGAGGAATTCAAATTGTTTGTCTCTTGATTCTTCAAAACTTGAGTTGGTAAGTAACCCTTTAGTACCAAAAAGAACTTCTCAAATATATTAATATGCCAGTGAATCCGTGTATTAAAACCAATTTCTTAAAACGAATTGAATAGGTTGCAGAATTCTTATAGAAATTTCAAATACCAATGTCATATAATGTTTAAAGATCTCTCATATTTTATGGCGCACTTGATCCTTCCGTAATCAATTTTAATTTGCTAAAGAATTTGAAAATATTCAAAATTTCAACAATAACTGAAGAGTCATAGGTGAGAATCTGTATTGTATTTGCATCCCAGACATCTATCATATCCAATAAACGCGTAAAACGTGTTTTTAATTTAAAAAACATTGTACGTAATCTCAACATTTTTCTTTTAGACGGTAACAAGTTTATCGTGTAGAAAGACGAACCTTATGTTAGGTGTATTGTACATATCTTATTTTTGCCAGCCATTTTAAAAATCTCCGCTTAAGTTCTAATGTTACCAGAAGATACCATATACAATTCGTTGACTTATTGTAAGAACTTGCTTTCTTCAGACGTTTGATTTCTTGACAGCTAGGTTTATACTTTGCTACTTAATACTTAGCTATACATATAATGATAAGTATACTCGTAACTTATAGACCAACATAACTTACTTTGAGTGCTTCATTCTTATAGATAGAATATTAACAAGTAACGTAGATTTTTATTCATTATAGCATGGATTCACTAAACATATTAAGTTTTTTAAGGATGTTACATGTTATCTGGATACACTCTACCCGTAAAGAAATCAAACATTTGAAAGCGTAAGTCCTTACAATAATTCCCTCCAGTGGCACAGCGGTATATTTGCGGATTTATACCGCTAGAAATCGGGTTTCGATACCCGTGGTGAGCAGAGCACAGATGGCCCTTTCTCTAGCTTTGTGCTTAATAACAAACAACAACAACCTTACAATAAACCAATGAATTATATTTGATATCTTCTGGTAACAATAAAACAATACGACAAGCAAAAGGTACTAAAAGAGTCCTATTTGCTATAACTGTACTGGATCATTATTGCTTTGGGTCATGAAAATGTATCACATAAAATATCTGTAGGAGGTTTTAGCAAACACATTTATAAAAGTTCAGAATAACATTAGAACAGTACTTGGAAAGTGCTCTTAGCTATTTATTCGTATAAACTAACGTTTTTTAAATATATAACGATCTTTGCGTTTATTAGTAATTCGTGAAAGTTAAGTCCAATCAAAATCACTATAGCCAACCTCTACGAAATGAAGCTTTGTATGTGACTTGTGAGAATGTGACGTATGTCAACATATATATCCTATATAATTTAGTGTATCAGTCAACATATATATTGTTACGTCTCTGTATGTCTGTTTGTTAATTCTTCAAAGATACAAGTCCTTTCTTTATAAAACTTGTTTATTCTTCCTCAATACAACTTTGTAATGTACTTAATTTTTCACAGTTACACACACTATAGTTCACAACAATTCACTCACTTTCTATCGCGCTTAGACTTAATTGTCCGTCCCCGCCAACTATAGTTCCGATCTCTGTGTCTGCTATCCTCAGTTCCCGCCGACCGTAATCGCTGTCTTTCTTGCTCTCTGCCACGTCTCTGGCTCCTCTACTGCTTCAACTCCGTCTGGCTCTCTCACTGTCTAGCGCACTTATATACGATAATACTGCCTGTTCTCAACACGTGCTACCAGCGTCAGTTG